AAAAAAAAATAAATAAATAAAATTTGCTTTTATATAATTAAAATGCTGATTGCATATAAAACAATTTTAAAGGTAAATATTTTATTAAAAATTTATAGGAACTGTATAATATGACGAAGACTGTTGAATAATTATTAATATTTTCACAAACAATTAGCTGCATGAAATATCAGTATATAGTATCACAGACAACCATTAGGAGACATGGGATAAATGACATTAATATACATTCATTAGCATAATAAATGTCATAGTTCTAGCATTATTATATATGAAATAGTAAACAGATCACATCACATAATTTTGTATACTGAATAAAGCTAACATATTACGTTGCTTCATTATTATATTCTATATAATTTAATTTGGTCTATTATGTGTCTAGAAAATGTGATTAAGTGTGAGAATTTTGGGTTTGTAAACTTTACAGTTTTGGATTGGTCGTATCTAAAAAAATTATGATCAGAGTGTAGGAATGAACATTACTGTTCTGATTAGCCACATCCATAAAAAATCCAAGAAAAACATAATCAGAATATTGGAAAATATTTAGAATATAACAATGACTATTCTAACACTATCTATTTACATATGACATTCTGGATTAAAGTTACTTATTAAAGTTACAACATTCTGAATTAAGGTTACTTACTATTACTAATTACGACATTCTGAATTAGTTAGTTTCTTTTTTTTTATTACGACATCTAACTATTTACCTATCTTTCTATACCAGTAATAATTCCAGAGTTCACCCAGTTAAACATTTTTGAGTTTCCTGTGAATTATTTACAAATATTATTAAATGCAGATATCCATATCCATTAATTTTTAACAGATAGATCCTAATTTATAATAGATGTAATACTTTAAAATGTAAATAAAGTATATATAGGCAAGTATGCATGGTTTAAGTGCATATAAAAAGCTTACTATTTAAATAATTGTTTTTAAGTTTATTGAAATCATGTTAAATTAATTATTATAAGATTATATTTATAAGAGTAGATAAGTCAAAAGTATGAGTTAATATCAACTTTGATTTATTTTGTCATCACATCTGCTTACTATCAAGATAGACTTAACGTTAATATAACAAATGCCACATGTTTCTGAATTTTTCTTCTATAAAAAAGTCGAATGCATAAACAAAAAGCTGTCAATATTTACAAGTTATATTAATAGCTTGTATTCTAATTTAGATTGATTCAAATCAACAAACTATAAGAATCGATTTGAAATTAAACTTACTATTCAACACGAGTAATCAGTGTACTGAAAAAATAAATCGCAATTAATCAGAAAAGTAATTTACACCAAATAAAAAATTCAAACTTTAATAAGACTAATCTTTAAATTTATAAATCATATAGATAGATAAATAAGAATTATAAACATATTTAACTAACAAAAATTTACTACATAGATAAATCTTTAACCCACTTCTAAAAAGTCCAACTAATTCAGAAAACTAGAAGATGTTTTAAGATATATTCTATATAGCACATGTGATAGTGTAGATAACCTAAATTATCAAATACAATCTAACACGTTGCTAAATAAATCAGACCTTTCTAAGTGCACGCTCTTGGGCTATACTTAAATAATGTGCATATAGAGAATAATAAGAAAAGGTGCGTTTATGGAGGTCAAGTATATATTTTGGCTAGCACCTAGAGAGGCCTGACTGTATTAATTTATCCATCATTATGCTGTCAAAATTATTAGTTCATTTTAAAGTCATTAAATAAATTAAACATTAATAAACCGAAATTTTATATTAATTGCAAAAAATTAATAATTATTAAATAGCTTTATTGCTATTTTTAGCATCTTAACAAAATTTTTTCCTTTAATATATCTTAATAAGTCAATATCTTTATTTGTTATAAAAGTTGAGATGCTGATAATATTTATTTTCTTGAAAACTAAGTACATTTAATGCAAAAAAAAATTTTTCAGAGTTCTTAAATTCTCGCATTTAAATTTATTACCACAAACATTTAAAGTGGCTAATGTAAAATTTTTACAGAGCGCCTCTGCTAAGGCTTTTCCGGCTTCGAAATTGAGATTATTGTGAGAAATATTTAGGGAAGTTAGAGCAGTGTTAATACAAAGTGCTTTTGCGAATGCTTCTCCCCCTTCAAATTTAAGATTATTGTAAGAAATATCTAGAGAAGCTAGGGTAGTATTTGTACTAAGGGCTTTTGCAAGCGCTTTACCTCCTTCAAAATTAAGCTTATTGTGAGAAATATCTAAAGAAGTTAGGGTAGTATTTGTACTAAGGGCTTTTGCAAGCGCTTTACCTCCTCCAAAATTAATATTATTGTAAGAAATATTCAGAGTAGTTAAAGAATTGTTTACGCAAAGCGCCTCTGCAAATGCTTTCCCTCCTAGATTATTGTAAGAAATATTCAGAGTAGTTAAAGAATTGTTTACACAAAGCACCTCTACAAATGCTTTCCCTGCTTTCCCTCCTAGATTATTGTAAGAAATATTCAGAGTGGTTAAAGAATTGTTTACGCAAACTGCCTCTGCAAATGCTTTCCCTCCTTCAAAATTAAAATCATTGTGAGAAATATTTAAAGAAGTTAGGGTGGTATTTGTGTAAAGAGCCTTTGCAAGCGCTTTACCATCTTCAAAATTAAGATTACTATAAGATATATTGAGAGAAGTTAGAGTGGCATTTTTGCAAAGAGCTTCTGCGAATGCTTTATCTCCCTTAAAATTAAGATAATTTTGAGAAATATCTAAGAAGGTTAGAGTAGTGTTTATGTAGACTGTCTCAGTGAACGCTTTTTCCCCTTCAAAACCAATTTTATTATCACTAATATCTAATTCAGTCAATGTAGTATTTATACAGAGTGCTTCTGCCAATGCCTTCCTTGCCATGGGACCAATTTGGTTATAAAAAAGGAATAGGAAAGTCAAAGTAGTGTTTTTACAAAGAGCCTCTGAGATTGCTTTTCCTCCTTCAAAACCAATCTCATTAATAGAAAGTCTTAAAGTGGTCAAAGCAGTATTTTTATAAAGAGCCTCTCCGAGTGCTTTCCCTCTTTTAAACCCAATCTCATTACCAGAAAGTTCGACATAAGTTAAAGTATTGTTTTTATGAAGAACTTCTGCAAATGCTTTTCCTCCTTTATTACCAATATTATTACGGCTTGTTAAAAAAGTCAAAGTAATGTTTTTGCAAAGAGCATCTGCTAATATTTCCGCATCTTTAGGTCCAAAATTATCAAAAACAAATAAATAAGTCGATGTTGTATTTTCGCAAATAGCCTTCATTAATAGTTTTACTTCTTCTGAATCAAGATTATTGTAGTCTAAGCTTAGATGGGTAATAGAGGTATTTATACAAAGACTTTCAATACCATTTTATTAATTTTTCCACAAGTCATTAAACTTTGAAGCTTTTTACTTGTTCTTAGAAACATTGCAATCAAAGAACATTTAATGACATTCACTAGCTCATCATCATCATCTATTACTTTGTTTTTAAAATCTGAATTATGAGATCTATCCATTCCATATTCTTCATCATTAAACCAATCTTTGATCCCGGTAAACATACAACCAACGCTTGTGGTATAACTTGAGTATTCAAATAATGGTCTTGAATATTTTGGAAGAATAACTCTAAATGGGATTAATAAAGCTTGTTCTTCAGTATTTAATGTTAAAAGATACATTCTTATAAGTCTTTTATCCTTTATATCGATTGTTGGTCCGCTCCATAATATTGGTACAATAATTCTACACCATTGACGGTTTACAAGGAGACATGAAAATAAGCTTCGATAATCAACTTGGAAGTTATTAAATATTTTAAAAAAACATTCATTTGGTAAATTAATCATTTTAAAGGGGTCAACAAATTTAGTACAGTACGTACGTACGTACGTACTATTATTATTATTGAAGTATCGATAATTTAATCGAAAAACATAGACACATGCCTCATGTATTTGGAGTAATGCTGGCTGCGATAAGAGCCAGATATAATTTTATTAGAGATAGATGTGAGATGAATAAGAGTGATAGGAACTAAAACGATGAATATCCCAAAAAGATAGCAATAATAATTGCGCTGGGAGTTATCGTAACAGACCAGATAGAAATTAAATAGGCGATCCTAGCCTAATTATTTAGCCGGTGGTTTCCCGCCTGCTGAAGCAGGCCGGCTGTTCGAACGGCAAATCATGTGATTACATTTGTGGAGGGATAGGGCGGGGCCGAAAAACTGATTTTGATGCTTGTGAGATGAAGTTGGTTAGAGTTGGGAGAAGCGTGTTTATATATAGTTTGGGTGGTATGTGTCTTTTTTGCTGGAACCTGTGTGGTAGTGGCCGATGGGTCGTCTGCGTAACGTTAATTGGCTATCGGAGTGGCTTGTATTGCCCGTGTGCGGCGCTGGCTTGTAGATTGTATTGATTGGCTTATTGTGTTTCATGCAGGTGGTTAGTGCCCGGTGCCCCGTATGATTCGGTTTGGATGCAGATCGTATTGATTGGCTGATTGTGTTACATGCAGGTGGTTAGTGCCCGGTGCCCTGTATGGTTCGGTTGGATCGGTGCTTAGTCTGGTTTTTCGAACTGTTGACTTTTGTCAACATATATTATAACCGTTGTTCAATGTCGTGAAACATTGTATAAAATCGAGCGCCACAGTCACAGGAGCCTGAGAGAGAATGACATCATTGATTCACGTGATCATGGATATACAGAATATTACGAAAAAATTTTCGTTCTGGTTAAGTGTGTTTTTTCTTTGCTGCAGCCTGAAAGAGTTGTTTTCTGGTTTCATGTTAAGCTTCCTTCACCCCACACTTCTTTGCGTTACCAGTAAATTAAGTTCTATCGATTTAGACCAAGTTGACTTACTAATAAGCAATCTGATTATTTCACGGTCAGCAAATTGAGAGATTTTGAATCGACCAGAAGGAAAGAAAAGGAATAACAATGAGGGAAAAAATAAAAAAGGGAGAGAGAAATGAAATGATGAGGGAAAATGTCTATATAGATACCCAAATTTTTTTCTTTTTGAATGAACGAAACCAACGAAATGTGTCAGAAATAGCTAGAGAATGTAATAAATTACTACAATGTGATATCTGTAACCAAGTGCGATCAATTAGAGCAATTCAAATGTGCTATTTGATGCGCTAGGAAATCTAGAATGGCATCAAATAGTCTAGTAAATGCCACACACGTTCGTCTACATAGCTAAAAAGCTAATGCTGAAAGACTAATTGGAAAATTAACTGAAATAGTATATCAATGAGTACTAAGTTCAAAAAAAAAACAGCACACAAGAGTCTGTACATTAAGAAGTCTGGTGTAAAAATGTGTATTCATATTGAATATGACATATAGTTTATGTCGTTATCAAACGAGCAGCAAGCGCTAATTCATACTATGTCAAAGAAATAAAATTTTATTGGTTTTCTTTAATACGAAAATATAATACAGTAGTATAGAATACGTACAGTACATATGTGATCAAAATTTATAACCTTATTCTATGTGTTAAATAAAAAGCTGTTCGCAATTTCTTGTGTATCTGTTTTTAACCATGTATACGATTTATATATGTCGGACAGAATTCGAAACGACTTAGATTAATTTCGAATGCATGTAGGTTTTGGTAGAATTCTAAAACGTGCTTGAATTTTATTTCGATATAAGCCAGAATAATTTAATAATATCGTTATTAATATTTGCAATCTAAATATTAAGTTTTAAATTGGAGTTTGACATAACCTGTTCCAGATTTTTGCATCCGAAAAAAATGTTTACTAAGTTGGTACATCAAAGTGGTTGAATAGGATAAGCTTTCTGAATAATACAAAATTGTTGAAACAGGTATAGAAAGATTAATTTATAGCGCTTTGCAAAAAGATGTGGACTCATAATTATTGGGGAATCGCTGCAATTCTAAATATAAAATCCAAGTTTAAGAGCCTTTATGTAATTATACTACAGTCGGCATTGTCTAATTGCATACTATCCGTCAGAGACTTTTTATGCATATAGACAAAATATGCATTTAAGTCATAAGAACCATTTTTCGCTAATAATTAAAAGTATCAACTGTATTATATTTTATTACGTAATTAATCATTCTAAAAACTACTGTCCACCCCTAAGTGCACGGTATATGAAAAACTCCTCTAAGTGCACACCTCTTTTGTCCCAAATAATAACAAATATTATAAATTTTAACTCCTTTAAATGCACACTTTCTCTAATGCACATTTTGCCTTTTTTTATTATGGTCCCGAGGCGTGCACTTAGAGGGGTACGGCTGTATTACTGTATTATACTTGCTATGTTTTAACAATAATAACTAGTAACAATCTTATAAATAGATCTTTAAAAATACCAGATAAAGTATATTAGCAAAATCCTAAACTACTTTTACTTACAAAATCAACTTTCCCTTAAGACTCGATAATCTTATCTTCAGACAAGACATAGTTCTGACAGTCCATTTCTCCGACAAACTAATTCCCGATAATCTAATGAAATATAATAGTCTCTAGTTTTTAATGTTCAGAGAAAAGGTAGTTGAAATTAAATAACATATTGGATGAAATTTCGGAAAAATAAGATATCAAAATTATGTCTTGTTAGTAAAATGAAGTAATATGGATTGTCAATATTGTGGCTTCGATGATTTGGTATTTCAGAAAATGGATTTAGGGAAGTTAACCCGTAACCCAAAAAACTTGAGCACAGTCATCGTCTTTTAACTATTTGGCTTTTTAAACATATTTCATTATATCATGAATAGAAGTACTGATTTTAAAGAATTTTTGAAATAGATTTCGATACAAAAAAAGATAAATCGGTTTAAAAATAATAATCTGAAAGAAATTAATTATTTTTGTAATATAATGGAATTAGCTATTGTAGAATTTTAATAACTGAAAAAAATTACTATAATTGCACCTTCCTAATTTTAATATAAATTTAAGAAATTGCTCGGGATTACTAGTGCACTAACTTGTTGACTACCATATTCTAAAAATTTTTTAGTATCATATATCTTACTAGTGTACACGTCTTGTAAATGAATTTGTTTAATTGGCCCTAGTTTATTCTTATTTGCTTCAAAAATTTGTTTTTTGATTTCATTATCATCACCCTGATCCATTTGAACTAACCATTGAGTGATTATTTCAATAATTCTGTGGCAGTAGGTCGTTTATTAAGCTCTTTGTCCATAAATTTCATAACTAACTCAACATAACAATCTGGCCCCAAACATTTAGGCTTTGATCTACTGATAATTCTTGATATGAGATAATCATCAAATAGAATTCCATCAGATGCTCTTTGTCCAGTTGAAATCTCTGTCATAATAACTCCAAGACTGTAAATATCTGACACTTGAGTATTCGGTTGGCCCACTAAAACCTCTGGTGCTATATATGGTAGAATTCCACAAAATTTTCCTTCCTTTACTTTTCCACAAAGTTCAAGATCAACAATATCTGCACTATGCAAATAATCTTGCAAAATATTTCCGCTGTGTAAATCTTTGTGAATGAGTTCCTGCGAATGGATTGACTCGAGATCTGATACTATACCGTGCAGGAGATTCAGTTTATCTTTCCATTCCAATTGTGATACTTGTGTAAGATTTTGTTGTAACGAACCTTTATTGTAAGCTTCATAACAATATAATCACCATAATTAGTCTTGATGCTCCAACACATTCAACGAAGGATTCTTGTAACAAATTTCACAATAATTTTTCAATTTTTGGATAAATTTTTGCTCATTTTTGTTTGAATCATGAATCACTTTAAATGCAAAATCTCCCATTCTACCATTAATTTTATCAAGCCATTTTACATTATATACAGTTGCGAATCCTCCTTCTCCCTTTTCAACGATATCTCTGAACTCATCATAATCAATCCAAGATAATCATCGTTTAATATTCTCTTAAGTTCAGGATTAGAGTTAATACCTCTATACGGATTAATATATCCGGATATATACTATGTCATGTGATATAACGTGACATAATGTTTTTATATCCGGATATAAATATATCCGGATTTAAATTTATATCCGGATTTATACTATGATAAAACCGGATTAATCCGAATATAAAAAATATATTTGGATTGAGGTATTAACTCTATTCAGGATTGATATTATCCGGCGGTTTATTAGTTTCCATATAACCTCTATATTTTGTAAACCAATAATTGATAATAAAAACCAAGATTACTATTTCCATAACATTATTCAAATCAGAAGATTTCTTACTATATTCAAATGCTTCTTGGTAGTTTTTCTCTATCCTAATTCCAAAAAAGTAACAGTTACTTGAACTAATCATCGTAACCCAATTTCCTAACTCAGCTACCCTCATATAATAATCAAAAGCCTTCGATACCATATTGGTAATAGAAACTAAGATCTTGAAGTTGCACAGAATCCATTTTTGTTTTAAAGAGGAAAAAAGAAAAAAAAACAAAAATCATGTGCTAATAAAATGTAAACTTTAATTTCCAGAGCAGTGAAGGACATTTAATGTTCATCAGAGTAATACAAAAGCTACAACAATAATTTTTCATTTTTAGCCATATGCATATTTGTATTTTAGCGTAACAAAATCAAATTAGGTTACTGATTAAGTATCTTTCCGAAGTTCATTTTCTAAAATTTTACCGAAAACACTGACAAGACGTAATTTTGATATTTCGAGTTTCACGAAATATTATTTACTCACTAGCAAAATTTCTCAATAAGTCATTACAGCTGCAATTCTCCGAACGTTATAGACAATTACTATATCTCATGTGGCGAATCAGGCGTTAAGAAATTAGTTTGATCTGAAAAAAAATTCATTAGCGAAAACTTTTATCAACCCAATGGAAGATATCATGCGTGTCTGTTTAGATATTTTTAAAATAAACTAGATATTGCACATGTGGACGGCTTCGCCGCCCAGCTTCGGCATACCGTATAGGCGCTTAATAACGCGTAGGGGTGCGTTATTTCGAGCCCCTACGCGTTATTTAGGACGCGCATGCACGATAATTCGAATCATTATGCTAATTTTGAAAAAAAAATTTCAACTGCTTTCTTGAATGATAATCTGGTACGTATGGAAGGGCGCGTTGTTTTGAGACGCGCATGGGCGTTATTTTGAGTCAAATATGCCATTTTTAAAAAAATCGAAATTTCGAAATAACGCCCATGTGCGTTATTACGTGCCTATACGGTATAGCAGTCAATTTAATAATATGCAATATCAATTAATATAATATCTGTTACAATGTTTTTATTTAATTGCAAGATTTTGCGGACACACATCTATATAACCATACACTTCGTGATATTTGCATATCACTCCGCTCCTGGTACGGCTGGATGTCATGATCTAACCGGCTGGGGCGAGCCTTCAGGTGGCCTTTAGTTGAAGCGCTTTTAAGAATGTGATTTTTTTTTCATAATAGTCAGAGCATTATTATTTTTTTTCAATGCAATTATTTGGTCTTGCTTTTTTTGAACATTAATATATATATTCAAATACGTAGTTTAGCTTTTTTTTTTTTTTTTTTTTTTTTTTTTAAGTAGATTAGGAGATTAGTTGTGCTTTTGTCTTTTAACATGAACTAGTGTTTGAAACGGATTTTAATTTCGTAACCGGGTTTGACATATAAAAAAGAGCTCAGGTAAGAGAATCCAGATCTTAATTATTATAATGGTTTATTTTTATTTTTAATCTCATTCCACGTTTTATAGAGATGAAAGTTTATAAATAACGATCCATCTCGATAAGGTGCTTTACGAGCTAACAATGCAGTGATCTAATCTGAATCATCCTTTGGTCGATCTTAAATATAATAGTTGATATAGAAAGTTTATTCTTCTCGTGTTCATGGACTAAAAAGCTTCATTATTCTTTACGTATTACGAAGAAAAACCTATGGAATTAAATATAAAAGGTGGGCTTATTGACCAACTGAAAATTCGGTTATTTTACTCACCGTAAGTATTTTCTATTGCCTCTTTATATTTTCATTCTTTTATACATTGTTATTGATTTTAACTATTTTATCATCTTATCATATAGTGACAGAAAAGGAAAACCAACAGACTTTTCAGAAGTTTTGAAATTTTTTTTTTTCGAATTAACTGAATTGTGCATTTTTTACTATTTAGATGTAATAGACCTTAACATACACTATATAATAAATCTGTATATGAGTCTTATAATTTAGAAGAATTTTTCATTTCGAAAGCTATAGAAAGGTA